ATAGAAACGGGAGAAACCGTTACTTTAAAGATGAAAAGTAAGGATGAATTGAAGACTGTCAATTTGCAGTATTCATCGAGGTAGGAAAAGAGTACAAGAACGGCCTTGTTAGCATGAGCTGGAGATTCTTTTTTGAGGCGAAACCGTGAACGTATTTGATCACTTTTAATGAATTTGTACTTTTGATGATTGAGTATACTTAAATGGAAGTTACGTTAACAATATGGCGATGATATTGGTACACCACTCGGTTTCGAGCAAAGCTTTACTCCGCGAACGGGAATCTTGTATCCATTATCTAATTATCTGTTAATATGGCGATGATAATCAGTTGATCACCGATGATATAAGAAAAGTTAAAAATAGAATGCGAAAAAATTTTCGCAAGCCCACCGTTGTTCAACACACAAAACTTGTGGGCATGCAAAACTGTCTGCTCCATATTACTCGCGGATTTTGCGACAATTTCCGATCAGCTGCGTTGATTCGATGTATCCGTTCAAAAGATCGTGTCTCTCAAAACGCTTTGTGCAATACGAACATTCTTACATGTCACTATGATTGAATGATGCCAAATGCTTTAATATAATCTCCNTGGAGTATGCGTTGAAATCCGCCTTCGCTTGCTTTAATGTACGAAAAAATAAAGTCCTCTCTCGCACCCCTCGGAATACCGTCTCATGCCCATCCAGATGCGAGCACCTTTTTTGAGAAACACTGTGTTAAATGATGAAAGTTGAAATGAATTGAAGTGATTTGTTGTAAATGTCTCTTTTCATTTGTGTTTCTTCAGATGGAGGACATGGTGACTGACGGTGGAGGAACTGAGGATGAGCAAGATGATGTGCTGCTCAACGGTGAGTTTGACCTCGAGAAAATTGAAGAAGAGATTCGAATGGAAAAAATTCGACAAGCCGCCTCAAAGCATTCATGGGAGAATTTCTCACAGTACCTTCGTAAAAATCTCATGGTTTGTGAATTTAATTCCTGTCTCATATGTGAAATGTGTCAGTCGTTTATTCGTAATCGACCTTTCTTGTCTCAGTACAGCCTCACCAACCGAGCACGCTTCACTGATTTGATGTTAACTTTCGAAAATCTGTAAATTTGATTTGGTCTTCAACATACTATTGAAAGCCATTGGATGTTGAGGTTCAAAGACTTGATCGAAATCAGCATGTAACGGCCTGCAGTCCACCAAGAAATTTATTCAAAAATGTCACTTCCTTGCCTTTCATGTTCTCATTAGTTAGCTGCTGCTTGAATTTTGCTAATAATATCGTATAAAAACATCGATTTTTGTAATTTGATATTTGGAGGAGAAACGCATCGTGCTGGACGCCGATGATCGTGATGACGTGCAGAATGTATTGAGCGATCTCCGAAAGCACATGCCATCAGAAGAGAACGGAGACTTCATGGCGCACTTACGTCAGTTGGCTGATAGTCTCTCGTATGTTTTATTTGTTTTATTCCTAGATTCTCATGGAATCGAAGTGAAGAGAGTAGTGAATCATTTACGTAAATTTCATGATGCCAGCAAAGCGCAACTCGTTCAAGGAAAATTCTTTCCAAGCATTAGGAAAAGTAGAAGTTAACATTAGAATTAGGACCGGGGAGTTCTTCCATCGAAGAATCTGATTTTTTCAGAGGGGCTTTGGAAATTTGTTTGTTCAGAGTGATACAGTTTTCAGGTGTGAATTCCAAGCGCAGCCTGGCTACTATGCTTTAAAGAGTGCCGAATTGTCAGTGGAAATTAGTATGGACGGTGCACAAGTGTCTACCTGTACAGTGTCGTGGTTTGGTGAGCCCCCAACTGAGGCGAATATACTCAAAAAGTTGATCACTCAGAACAAGTGGGGTACCATAAATAATACTCTTTCGGTGATGCTCAAGCTTATTCCATCGGCTCTTCAACGGTTCGTTGTTGCTAAATTTTCATCTAGTTGCAGTTCTTCACGTTCATTCGCTTTCAGCTTCGTTATCAGTGGCAAACTCACTGTGATCGTTTTTATCAATATATCAACGTGTTTCTAGCCATTTTACGGTTCTTCTAATCCTAAAATTTTGGTTTATTTATTTTTTTATTACTTGTTTAATGCAGCCAGATACAAGTGATCGGTTTGGTTGTAAAATTCTGCCATGAATGAAGGCAGCGATTTCATTCACAAATGTGTAATTTTATCTTGAAAGATGATGGGATAGTAATAGCTGAAAAATGAATGATTGTTGATGATTCACAGCGAAGAGAAATGTGCGTGTATGCGATCATTGGAGTTGATCGAGAAAGACCTTCTGAACGCTTCTGTGAATTCGATCGAACTCCTGGAAAAGGATCGTGTTTCTTCCACAGCATCATCTTCATGCTCGTTAACTTCATTACCTCTCATCGACAAAATCAATTCGGGTCTTCTGGCATTATGTCAACCTCGCACTGAATCTTCGCCATTCACGATACATCTCATCGCCGAACCAAATGTGTTCTTTGATCTGCAGTCATCAACATTTCTAGATGCTGATGAGCAAGGTGAGTGAACGCCATTTTAGGTTTTTTGCTCTTTTTTGTTGTCATTTGTTCAGGTTTATCGCTTTTTGAAATTGTATATAAATAAATGCCATTCGTTTGCAGCGATAAGTGACTGCTCGATATTACCCTGTGCACGACTTTCGGTAGTTCCAGCACCAACGCCACAACTCTTCTCTGATACATCACTCTTCTCTGTAATGTTCGTCGATCCTTCTTTTGTTTCAGCCTCAGATGTCGCTTCATTTCACTTGTTTGGAATGGAACATTTTCGTAGCATTCCATTCAGAAAATAACTTTCATCATTGAAAAGAAAGAAGATTAATCTCATCTTCAATCAATATCAGTGATTCGTTAACTCTTGCAGACAGTGCCATCACTGCTATAAGTAGTGTTCAATCTATAAATAGGCAAATAATTGAAGTGGGTCTGTTCATAGCAAGTCGGCAGTTAATGAATACCAAGTTAGCAGTTAGTCACTGCACAAATGAATACTGAGTGAACAGTTTTGCAGGAGTAATGAATGGTGTAACGTCGAGTCGGGATGTAGGTTGCCAGCCACATATCGCCTTCGTTTCTCACGACCAATCATTTTTGGTGTTGATTCGTTGAGGAAACTCTCAAGTGTTGCAGTTCTGCCGTTGAATATTGAGGGCACAGGTGGAGATGCAACCGGAGTGGATGCTAGTTCTGCTGTGGTCACTAATAAACTTAACTTATATCAGTACCTTCGCGGTGAAGATGAAGTGCATATTTCAAACTTTTTTGTTTTGTTATTATCGTCGTTGTTAATACTTAAACAAAACGAATTTGGAGCTTGTAAATTCGAAAACAGTATCTATAAGTTGTCGTCGGGACAAGTTATAAGTAGAACGTTTCGATGATTTAATTGTTTCTTCTTTCATGAAGCGTAGAGTGGTGATTCCTAGTGCTTAAGTAGTATTATATTAAGATTAAGAATAATTCTACTAAAGAATTGTATTAACGCAGCGATCGAGAACCTTCAGTTGTTAATGTTTTCAATCAGTTTTTTATGGTGCTAAATGCAGCATTGGATTTGATTTTAAGCTGCAATTAATTGTATAATGATTCTGCCAATGTTTGTGAATGGTTTTCATTACAAATTTTCCTGATAGAATGTTATGAATAATTTTGATGAATTTCATATTTTTAAAGATTCGAAATGATTTGTTAGTCAGTCTGCCAGGATGTGTAACACAACGTTATGTACTCGATCAGCTGATGACGAACGCTCATGATGCTGGAATTGTACGCGAGGTTCGTTGGATTTCATCCATGTTGAAGATTTGAAATCATTGTTTGGTCTTTGATTTGTATGGATTGAATACAGTTCATGCAACTTCATATCACTCTCTCACCTCGTCATAGTAGAACGAGTTTCTGATCAGAGTTGCTCAACTTCAACGAGTACACTTCCATTTTTCGTCAGTGAAAATGGATGAGGACATTTAAATGTCATGCAACTTGTAATAGTCACAAACACTACTTATGGAAGACTATCCTATTTAACCTATTGATTCTGGTGTTTTTAGGTGTTCTGAGCAATGTATCACCACTGATCATTTATCATTTTCCTCATTATTCCATATACTTGAACATCGATCTCAAAGATGTCCATCACTGATAGTATTGTTTCCATCATACTAACAGTTGATCTGTCCCATCATCCCTATTTCATCAGTTTCGAAGATGACAACTGGCAAGTGTTAATAAAGCTTTCATTTCGCAGGTGACATTTATGCATCCACGCGATGTGCCTCTGATAGTGGACACGGTTCGAACACAACTAGCGCATAATGCCCTCTTCGAGAGTCTGTTACGTGCACATAATCCGAATGCTTCGTTGAGTAATGCGCTCGAAATACGACTCACTTCGGCATCTGTCAACAATTTTGATCTCATCTTTAATCTCCAAAATAATATTTTCATTGGTATGTTTTCATTTAGTTCAGTGGTTCTCATAGAGGGCGAAATTACCCATTTTGGGTAATTTGGCGATCTCGTGGGGGGTAACGGAGGGGGTCGGGAGTAACGGAGGATCAGTCTGAATATAATTCAATTATATTGTTCTACTTTTTTGTTTGGTTTGAGCAAGAAATTCCAAATGTCTTACTTCATTTATTTCGTAGTGATACGTATATTGATTTTTAGACAATCGTACATTTCTATATTAATTGTTGTATTGATAAAATACATGCCCATCTATTGTTTGTAGCTCGCATAAATGTGTCATCTGGAAACATGAGTGCTTCAATTGAATCGGTCGCGAGTGGTGCTGTTTTGGCTGATGAAACACAATATGCTACCTCAATTCTGGCCAAGTAAGCGTTTATTATCACTCCGTTATATCTTTTCAGTCACTGTTTTATTTCGTTATTTTATCATTATAAAAATGTTTAATCACCACATTCAGTGTCTTACTTCTCTTCAGTGATAAAAGGTCAGCCACATGCTTTCAGGTCATGGTCATTGGGAGTTATGATGCGCGGGGTGCTACGTCGGGGTGGAGCGGGTGGAATGCAGGTCACTACGCTTAGCGATGATAGTGCGGTCCCAGAAATGAAAGATGATAGTAAAAATGATAATAAACAGAATAATATTCTATCGAATGGGTTGTTTTCAAATGATGATGTTAAAGTTTCACAATGTTGGTTGAGTGTTTCTAACAGTGCATCGCAACATAAAAGTGACTTCGAATTTCGAGTTGCCGATGAAGATACACCCAGCGGGACACGTTCACTGTTAGCCCTATTCAAGGAACTAGAGCACGTTGAGGAGCTGATACCCCCCGTGGCACAAAATCCCGGTGCGCATACCCCGTCCGCCCCACCGCGCATCGGTGAAATGCTTGCGCCTCGAACCAGTCGCATACACTCGGAGAACACGATGACTATCAATGCACTCTCCGATCTGGTATCATATTACATCATATCATATACATTTGTCAATTTCACTTCACTTGTCCAGTCCACATTTGCTTGTTTATTGGGTAGTTAATCGTTTTTCATCTTATTCCATGTGATCGATGATTTCGATAATTATTGCTCAAATTCAGTAAATGAACAACAATAAGATAATCTACTAAATTATGATGCGTTAAAGTGTTATCGTTGATAGAATCTTTCCTTTTTGGGTTGTTTGCAAAAAGTGGATTGAGAGTTGGAGGAAAATTTAAGGAATTTCCCGAATTTGAGGATTCTCTCGAATCGTATCAAAAAAAAAATAAAAGATATATTCGATCAGTTAGTTAAGTTGGTAGGGGCCGATCAGTTTTATGTAGGTTTCACAGGCGAAAAGGTGATTATTACTTGAATGAGAAATAGGACCAATTAGTTGTATTGAGGGGAACGATTCAACCGAATTTCCATCATGCTTCAGCTGAATTCATTGTTTCCGAAACGATGAGGTTGACATAAGCAAGAAAAAGGACAATTACTGTTCGCACAAAGCGAATATGCTAGGAACGAACAACATTCGATTGGTACAGCTGAAAGATTGTATATGCAAATCATAAGAAATAATGCGATATTAGAAAGATACAGAAACATCAAATGAATTCGTGAAATAGATTCTCTTCTAGAAGGAACGGTGAAAAATTATTGGGGTTCGTAGTGTATTAATATTGCTAATGAAGTGAATAATGTGAACTTATTTTCGTGAACCGAAATGTACAGCAAACTTAAGTTAAATTGAGATGTATTCTGCGATCAGAAATCAAACAGATTTATTTGTAAATGTATGTTCAAATGCATTGGAGTAAGTCAGAAAATAGAACAAAGCAAAGGGTTTGATGAGCGTTGTTGTGATATTGTGTTACCTCTAATGGACGGAAAGTAGCAGTCAAGAATGAAGAGCAGAATCAAATTGAGTTGACTGTAAACAAGCGATAAGTTTATCAAAGTTGTTAATTCTAGAGATCCGTATGTTGAAACATGTTTGAAGAGATAGCGATGTGAGAATTTTAGTCTTTAAACTGAAAAATAAGCCACTAATCCTTGATAGCACGTAAACAGGATTTATATTTGGGAGCAATAGATGAGCATTACGATTCTGAAGGTTTCATTTGTTAACTTCAAGGATGCAATCTGTGACATGGCTGCAAATTTCGACGATGGCGAATCGAACATGTCAGAGCACAGTGGCCGGTCATCTATCGTAGAGCGTTGTTCACCGTCTGCAGTTGAGGTTAGAATCGATTTCAGTTTTATCAATTTAGATGTATTTGTTCATATTTGATAGCTCATTAACAAGTGGCTGCAGCTTAATTTTAATATTATGCATAAAGCGGGTTCAAATAATCACTTCATAGTTTCAGTAAGCAGGAAAACTATATTTCAGTCTGTATAATCACTGAAAAAAACTCGATGTTTGTGTGGATCCCTTTTCGAATATTTTTTTCTGTTTTAGAAAAATTGATCATCATTTCGCTGTGTTATACGTATAAATAAAAATTTGTTGTTGCGGAAGGATAAGGAATATAGATCTCAGAGCAGACTTAATTGAAGTTCCATGAATGCCGGATATGTATATATTTTGTTATCTGTTTCGTGTTAAAAAAAGGAATGATATTTTTTGCACTCAATTAAGGTGCAAAGGCTCCGTGCACAGCAACAAGTTCCTCCGCAGTCACCCAGTAACGATCGTTATCGTGCTGCGCAAATCAATCCAATTCCCCAACTGTCACCGTTAGAGATAGCTAGACAGCGGCTAGCCGTACGTTATTAATTCTTCATTTCCGTTTCACCTCTTTCCAGCTGCCACAATCTTCTTTATTTTATTTCATTGTGCTTGATGAGTTTACTGAATGATGTTCATGATTGGAATTTTACAATTGTATGAAATTTCAATCATTTACTCACCTTCAGATCAGCTTTGTTGCAGTCATGTAAAAGCGATTTTGGCTATATCCCAGTCAATTTGAGCAATAAATGAGGGATGTAATCTATCATTCCTCTCAACTAAGTCATCAATGAGCTCCGGAATAAGTCTATATCAAATTGAAGTTCTCGAACGTTCACTTAAATGAATAAGCGTTTTCAGCAAACTCCACTGAGCAACACTCCAGACGTGTTTGAATTCGATGAACCACCACGTATGGCGAACGCTACAACTCCGGCATCAGCATCTACGTTCAGCCCATCACAACAGTTTCAGTTTCCCGGAGGTGTCAGCCAAAGTGGTTATCAATTTGCAGCAATACAGTCGACAAGAGGCTCGATGACGGGCGCAGCTCCGCTAGTTAAACGACGTGGTCGTGGTCGTAAGGCGGCTAATATTGGCGATCGAACGGGTAGCATTGATCACGCACACGCTACCGCTGTGCTAGATCCAAGCACTGGGCTGATGACACAGACTGCGACCAGGCGACCTCGAGGTTCGTTTTGTGCACGCACACAATTCTAGTTTTAGTTCGCTCTACTCAACGCTGAATTCAGTTTTAGTTGACTGTTGGAAATTTGTGGCAAATGTCGAAGAAGTTATAAGTATTTCGAAATTTCCGATTGAGAGAAACGGATTTATCGATATTTCATTGGCAATTAGTTGCGGACTTTGATTGCGTTATTTGTCTGAAGTGTTCTCGTTTTATGCAGTTAGAAATCTTATCGAATAATTCTGCTTAAATTTCTCTTGAATAATGCACTTCATTTGCTGCTTTGTTCATTTGACAATATATCATATTATTCACATTCGATCAGTTGTGGCCTTCAATTTGATGTGATCAAGCATAGCAAATCCGTTTCAGGAACGGTTAGCACGCGTCGACCAAGACGTCCACGGAAAGCAGCTCAGCTGGCTGCATCGCAGACATATACTCATCAGTTCTCATCCATGGAGCGGCCGTTATTGCAACGTTCCTTCTCAGACATTCATTATTCACCGCAACTTTCGGCGCGTAAGATTCCACCGATTTCAAATCTCGTTTGCTGCAACTGTTTCATTTCCCATAACATACGAATTCCATTCATTCTGGTCTGAAAGCGTTTGCGCACTGTTTTGAAATATTATAGTAGTCAAACGATAATTTCGAACGAAAGTTGATTTTGGAAATTTTGGTAAACAATATTCGAATCTGCGGTTCAGATTTCTTGAAATTTGGAAATTCCATTGTTGTCAACGGTTTTTTGACGTAATTTTAATGAACGATATGCAAAGGTGGTTGTGAACCTGAGTGCTGTTATCGTTGTATGTTTAGCTGCCCCAGCGTCGATAGTGTCGCGATCAGAAACCGTTTCTGAAGTTGACGGAATCGAAGAATCATCCGATGAAGAAACTGATCCTCCACCACCGACCCGTTTAAATGCGGCGCCGGCTCAACCACCTGCGCAGTCAGCTACAAGCCTGCCTCCACCCACAGCGAACCCACCCACCACCCCGTCGTCAACCGCCCTTCTCCCTCAACACCAACAAGCAACTGGATCGTCTTCTGCTGCACCTTCCGTGTGTTGCTCACCAACCACGACTGTCACCAGTAAACAGGCCACTGCAAGTTCTGTATCGTCGTCAGTTGCGTCAAGGTAATTCTATTGTTGAAAGTTATTATCTTCTTTTTCATATTTAGAGTCTATTTCCTTATAATGCGATTCATTCTCATTTTTACATTTTAACAACCAATACACAAAGATCTGATTTTTAACTCATTGTAAAGCTGCATTGCTGAGGATTCTCCTAGACAGCTGTTCATAATTTTTAGATGCCATTCGATAATTTTTGAGCGATTGGTCGTTATGAATATTATTTTTTGTTGTTGCGGTTGTGAATCGTGTAATTGTGAACATTGTAGTGGTGGCAGCAGTACGGGAGCAAATACACCAATTGGAGCATCACCGTCAACCGTTTCGTCAGGACATAGTGGTGGGGGTGGAGGTGGGGGTTCGGCGATCGGAACGCCATCATATCAGTCGAATTCGAATAGAGCTCCAAAGAAGAGTACTCTCGAGGCAGTTGTTGGTAAACTGCACCATAAATCATCGACTTCGGCTGCGGGCAGTACGGCCACGACCCCGACATCGTCGAATAATCCATATGCCGCGTCTGATTTGTACGACGATGAATCTGAACCACAGCAAACAACAGCAGCAAAGCCACAGCAGGTTCATTATTTGCCATTCTGTTTGATTTGTAATTTTGTTTGGTTGATTATCCAATTACTTGCGTGCTTCTAAATGTGGGCAAGTGATAATTCATTAGTGATACTTTCATCAGTAATTCAGTGACTGCTTGTTCACTTCGGTGTGTTGGAAGACGATTTTTCTCTGTGAATAAATTTTATCATGAGAATATATGTTCGATATCCCTAATATTTTTGTGAGAATAAATAATGAGATTGATGGAAATAAATGATAATCTATGCATTGTACCTAATCAAGTTTTATTTTTTAAGTCACCGCATTTGAAACGTGAGGATTCTGCACCACAGTTACAAGGATTGTCAGGATCAACGTCAGCGTCACCGCTCGGTGGATCAGTTACAGGGGCTCGTGCTTCACCAAGTTCCAGAATAACCCCAGCTCCTGGCTCGTTATCGTCAACCTCATCAGCATCTGCTGGTGGAACAGCAACATCCATAACTGCTGTTGGAATGCAATCCACCGATCAACAGCAGCAGCAACAGCAGGGAGCAGCACCTCAATCGCAGACGCAATCGAATTTATCACAGCAAAGCAATTCGGATCTTAAGATCATGATTAAACTCAGACAACAAACATCGGTCGCACCAACGACAACATCAGCCAGCAAACAGTCCTCTGCTCAGCAACAACAGTATCCATCTACCATATCACCGTACGTCCTTATCATTGTCGTTGTGCTGAATTCGTTTGCCCATAGGGAGTTTATATTTAAGTTCACTCACTTTTATGCTCGTTCAGCTCTTTGTTTATTGGTTCATTTATTATCTTCATTAAGGCGGTCCATAATTGATCACTCTAAGAATAAGCTTTGAAATAATTTGGCAAATGTATTATCACAACGTGAGCATATTCATAACGAATCTATTTCAAGTTCATTGCGTCTTACCGGACAACCGCCCTCCTCATCGAGATCTCGAGAGGAGAAAGCGCTGCTGAAGCAACGACAGCTGAAGGAGAAAGCTAGACTCCAGGAAGAACGCTCTCGGAAAGCAGCGAAACGTGAAAGGAAGAGTGATTCATCTGTACTTAGCAAGGTTAATTACATAATAGTTCCTTGACTGACGTAAAAATTAATACTGAATATATTACCGCTGATTATGATAGAAGTATTATCACCAATAATGATAACGGTAAAGAAACAAGTAAGGAAATCGCTGTGCTTAGAGCTATTAGCAATATTGTGTGCTAACAATTTCTTTTTAGACAGCTGTAGAAAGAATTTGATTTGTTCTAAAAAATTCACCTAACCAGAAATCAGAATGTCGATATTTGCAAGGTGCAACTTATATCATATGATGGAGTCAGCAAAATGATTTCAGTGTATTCAATCCACTCAGTTCCACCATAAATCATTTCCATATTTTTGCAGAAACAAAAGTTGGATCGAGCATCATTGTCGTCGTCCATTGAGCAAAGGCTGCAACCACCCCGAGTTGAACTTCCTCTCCAAGTTCCAGCCTTCGCAAGCCTTAAGAATTTCAAAATTCCTAAGGTAAGAGATGATGACTTTCAAAAGATTTCTAAGGTAAGGTAATGTTTACCTGTTCGGTAATATCGTTATTATCAAGCATTGCCTATTTTATATATTGTTTTCGTATTTTGCTCGGTGCACAGCCATGTTTCATAGCAATTGCATTTGTTGCAGTAATTGAGCCATCATTCAAGGCTGAGATTTGTCGGCAGCTGAATGGTGGATCGGTTAATCGGAACTGAATAAAGGGTTATTGCTGAGCGTTTAGGTGATGGAAAATGAACGAAGTGGTGATTCAGCATCGACAAGCACACAGTGTCAGTCACAGCAGTCATCAAGCAGCACATCCACTAATAATGCGAATGTGAATACGAGTAGTGCTATTACGTCCACCCCTAGTAACAACACGGTCAGTAACGCTGGCACGACCTCAGTCAGTAACGCGCTCTCAACCACCGGCAGTACCTCATCCTCTATGTCCATTTCGAATGGTCATCCGCCCCAGCTCCTTCAAAATCAGCTCCCATCTTCATCCACCTCGTCAATATTTCCCTCACCACCGTCATCCAAACCAACAAAGTCGATTCTCAAGTCGTCATCGGTCACTCCAATGGACACTCAGCAATCCGGACCTCCACCGCCAAATATGTACCGTTCGATGCCAGTGTTGCCAATGGTTCCTGGAAGTGGACGACGAGCCCTACTGCCGGATCCACGTACTGTCATGCATCACCCTTCCAGGTTTTTGTTATTCACACAAATTATTTCATATTAGTCGGAAATGTTCAATTCGTTTCTGCTTCAATTTTGATAAAGTCACAACAAAAGTGATGACGTTAACAGTGACCATAATAATGATAGCCATATGAGGCACTCTGCAATCAAGTTGTGTAGTTTCTCTTCAAAAAATAGCTTGTTGTTGTGTGATTCAGCATTGTATACCGTCGTTCATAATTGTATTTATTGGTGCAGATAAGCAGTCGTGTTACAGAACGATATTGCCGCCGTCCAGAATGATGCATCCTCCGATGAACCTGTCGGCGATCGCAGCACCACCACCGCCGTCGTCAACCGGTCGCTGGATGGCACTCGCCCCTCCAAAACAACAACCCTCTCCCAAAAATCCGATTCTACCCGAGCAACTCCCATCCTCCTCCCTCAGCTCAAACACGGACAAAAGTCCTGACTCGAACACATTTTCGAAATCGGCTGACAGTCCTTCTGAAGCACTGAAAATCGTCGGTGATGATGAATGAATATTGTGAAGCACCATCTGGATCAGATTCAGAAGACTGGTGTTGTCTTTACGCTGTCATGTTATTGGGTGGCACTATGGTGGTCACGTACTCTTGAATGTCATCTCATTTTTTTGTTGGTCACTTCAGTGAATTTCCATTTTCGATACTCCTCTGCTGGTTTGCGTCGTTTGTTGTTGTTGACTTCTTTATGTAAATCATCAATTATATTCATTGTTCATGTGATATTTTTTGTTTTCAATATAATTGTTTATTTTAGCGATAAGAAGCATTGAGTGCTTTGACTGTAATACAATAAGTATAAATGCACGATATCATCTTGATTGATTGTAGAAAGCAGTTTCATTACTGTTTTATCTTGTATGGTTTCATCCTGATTATCTCTCATCCTAAATACTCATAGTTTCGGCGTATTTGTTTTAATTTACCTGTTACAATTGCCATTGTTGTTTTTTGCTTCATTGTTCATTATTTATTCGTTTTTTTTTTTGAATTTGTAATTTATTCTAAAGTTTGATTGTTTATTTATATTTCATTTTGTTTTGTTGCTTGTATATTACTATATTTTTATGATTGCACTTGTTTATGACTTTTTTACATTGGGTTTTCTGTTTTTAGTGATATTTTTGGTATTCTTTACGCCAACAGACAAAATACTTCTTCCAAGTGGAAACTCGAAAATGCGTTTAAAAATGCGTCAACGACATGTTTGCATGACAGAAAAATGTTTTGAAATTTAATTTTCAAAGTATTCGTTATTTGCCGTTAATATGTTAATCACGTCTTCATTATGGTTCTATGAATGATCTGCGATTTAACCTAATATATGTGTGTGTTTCATGGAAACAGTAAAAAATTTGTTTGGAACATGTCGTTCCATTGCCTTCAGAATCATAAAAGTAACGTTTCAGGAAGACTTTTTTGTGAAGGAGTATCATTGCTCCTCATGAGACAATACCACCAGATCAGTATGCTAAAAATGTATTGATCCAATCGTGTCATTTTTATCTGAAGAAAATGTTTTTAATAAAATATTACCAAAAAAAGCACAAGATATGAGGGAAATAGCGGTATGATCGCATGTCATTAGTTAAGTTTTCAGATCTGGACATACGAAGTACACACTTGAGGAGTTAGCTGTAGGAGTCCAATGCTATACACTCTTAAACTACTCTAAACGCAGACTCAAGGGAACTAATTTGAAATTTGGACCGTTTTAAGGTACTGGTTCTCGACCATTTCTTTGCCCGCACTCCTCACAACAATAGTTTTGATACCCTCATAATTATCCACCCTTTATTTCTCATCCACTACGTCGAGTGTCTGTAGCGTAGACAACGGTATACCAGGGTTTCTTAACCGGAGTTGCATGCACACCGTGGGTGCGATAGAGAGTGGGATAAGAGTCGATACGAGAAGAAATTTCATTTTTTAATACATGAAGTACTTTAACGTATATATTTTTGATGCCATCACTACTTCAAAGTCGCTAAAACATTGGGAAGTTCAAGCGTGTCGAGCGATCTCTAGGGTGGTTCAATAAATACGCATTTCGGCCTACATATTTCTGACCTAATGTATCGAATTTTTTAGACGTGCAAATGAAGTATTCTGTGTGAAAAACATCTTTATTCAACTCATTGACCACCTTTATCAACAATAAGGCTTCAAACAGGTTACAATCAATAAAAATTAATAGCGAAGGCAATCATCAGGCTTCAAGATGTGCAATTATACATAAAACCTATGTAAGCCGGAAAGTAATTACTGTGATCATCAACATCAGTTAACCAAATTCAACGTCGTATGGAATGTTTTGTTCATGAAACAACCGGATTATAAGCACAACTGGTGAAAGACCACTTGAATTGTGCCAAGTACCTATTCGAACTGATCAGGATTCACTTCCTCTCGAAACTGCAGTTTGGATTTGTTTCTGTTGATTTGGTAAATATCAACGAAACGGGAAAGCTGGTGTTGAGCAATTCTTAAATTATGATGGGAATTGAAAACAGTCTCAATTAGTGATGTCTCTATTCCACGTTTCTGAAAATTGTTCCATTCTGTGCTATTCTGCCCCAAAAACGGCTCTATTCTATCCTGTGTACTCCTCGTTTAAGAACCGTCCTGTTCTATTCAATCTTGCCCCCTTAAACTGTGCTATAGTGTTCTAAACTGTTCTATTCTGTTCCGTCGGTCAGAAAAGTGACAGGATAAAACTTAACTAGGGTTGGAAACGTGATTTTTTGGTGTTTTCAGTGCAAAATGAAGATTATTTCGGGTGGGAGAAGATTGTTCACACGGACAGTTGACAGCTCTTGACCGTGATGATTGAAGGAAAACGGAGGGTTTCGGGCTCTGTTCATTGAAGAACAGAGGACTCCTGTTTCGTCTCAACAATTCGGTCAGAAACTGATGCACGGTTTCTCTGATGTACTAATGAGTTCGAAATGAACTGATTCGATTAATCGGACTCAAATCGTCCAAGCATAAACTTTCATTGGAGGTGTAAAATGTGAACGATTTCTGTGATGGCTTGTTCTTAGAGTTTAGAGTACGGGTAATTTATCTCACTGCAGTCTTCACAAAGAATAGTTTAAGGAGCAGCCAAAATCTGCGGAAAACTGTTATATTCTATTCTTTTGGGTTCGAAACGGCTCTATTCTATTCTATTCTGTGCGTTCCTCATTTGCGAACTGTTCTATTCTATTCCTTGAAACAGACAGGAATAGAATTGTTTGACTGGAATAGAGACATCACTAGTGTCATTACAAAGCCTGACTTCAGAGTACAACCATTCCAGAATCGTTC